GAAGTGCGTAGCGTGTAAAAATGGTCTGTCCTTGGTTGCAACACTCACTACCGAGTTCCAAACTGTCTCTGGAAGCAACCTCAGCACAATAACTGTTCGTCGTGAGCTTCATGAAATGGTTTCCATGGCCGAGCAGCCGCACACAAGCCTAAGATCACCAAGCACAATGCCAAGCGTCGGCTGGAGTGCTGTAAAGCTAGTCGCCATTGGACTCAGGAGCAGTGGAAACGTATTCTCTGCAGTGATGAATCACGCTTCACCATCGGGCAGTCCGATGGACGAATCTGGGTTTGGCGGATGCCAGGAGAACGCTATCTTCCCCAATGCATAGTGCCAACTGTAAAGTTTGGTGGAGGAGGAATAATGGTCTGTTTTTCATGGTTCGGGATAGACCCCTTAATTCCAGTGAAGGGAAATCTTAACGCTACAGCATACAATTACATTCTAGACGATTCTGTGCTTCCAACTTTGTGGCAACAGTTTGGGGAAGGCCCTTTCCTGTTTCAGCATGCCAATGCCCCCATGTACAAAGCGAGATCCATACAGAAATGGTTTGTCGAGATCGGTGTGGAAGAACTTGACTTGCTTGCACAGAGCCCTGACCTCAACCCCATCGAACGCCTTTGGGATGAATTGGAACGGCGCCTGCGAGCCAGGCCTAATCGCCCAACATCATTGCTCGATTTCACTAATGCTCTAAGTGGCTGAATGGAAGCAGGTAGCTTAGTGGTTAAGAGCGTTGTGCCAGTAACCGAAAGGTCGCTGGTTCTAATCCCCGAGCCGACTAGGTGAATCGATGTGCCCTTGAGCAAGGCATTTAACCCTAATTGCTCTTGTAAGTCGCTCTGGATAAGAGCGTCTGCTAAATAAATAAAAAAAATAAAAAAAAGCAAGTCCCGCTGCAATGTTCCAACATCTAGTGGAAAGCCTTCCCAGAAGAGTGGAGGCTGTTATAGCAGCAAAGGGGGGACCAACTCCATATTAATGCCCATGATTTAGAAATGAGATGTTCGACGAGCAGGTGTCCACATACTTTTGGTCATGTAGTGTAATTGTGATTCAAACCTCTCGGTAGCCACCTGGTGGTAGCAATGCGCGTTGCAGGTCAGCAGGAGGCGTGAGGCGTGAGGTGTTTAGTAATTAACCCGTTGGATGAAGAGAACTACGACTCGAACTGAACTGGAGGGTGAACTTCGGACTGTGTTGTTTTTTCTGCCCACCGCAACTTTCGGTTGAATGACATATAGGTCACTAAGATTAAGAACATTTTCAGTATTTTGTTCAGTATTTTGCCATTAATTGATTACTAAATTTGGACAACACATGGTGAGTTGCTATGCCTTCTGCATTCATTGTCAAAAGTTTGAGTTTGCAGAGCAGTCCGTACTTCGTATAGCCAGTCAATATGTAAACTTGTCTGAATTAATAACCCATCCTAAACGAATAGGGCCTACATAACATAAAAACGCAATTTGATAAGTATGCCAATTGTTTAGCGTGATTATTTGTATTTGTATGAAAGAAAAGAACACAAGTTTTATTTGGCCAGGAGAGGGGCGAGTTGAGGTTACCAGCGTTAGTGGAGTGGACTGGTCAGTTGATTAAAATTAGCCCTCATTGATTCAGCGGGTTGAAAGTCCACCGAAGTATTTTCTATTCCATTCTATTCTAATATATTCTATTCTAATCTATTCGGTTCTATTATCATTTATTCTATTAAAGTGACATATGTTTTTATGTTTCCCAGGTAGGCATCAGGTAAAAAAAAAGTTGGAACCAAGGAAAGTGTATTTCAGACTACAGAAGTGAGGGGTCCTCCTACAACACCGAATATAGAAGAAGAAGAAGAGGAGGATTAGAAGAAGAAGAAGAAGAAGAAGAAGAAGAAGAAGAAGAAGAAGAAGAGGATTAGAAGAAGGTGGAAGAACTTAATCATGATCCCACAGAAGTCACAGTAACTGATGTTACATTAAACTGCAGTTGGATTAGTGACTCTGCCTGGAACATGGATGCGTTTGAGGGTCTCCACAGTGTCCAGCTGCCCTCCTCTCCAACCCCTGCCTCTGCCGCCAACCCGGGGTATGAGATCCTCGTGTCAGCCAGATCTGGTGTCCAGGTATATTCCAACGCCACGTTCTATGGTAAACCCAGTGTTCTGGAGCAGGCTCAGAGGAGAGGGAGAGCCAAACATCACTCCCACCGAGAGGAGACTAAAGAGGAGAGGTGTGAGGTTGGATGGTAAGAGACCGTTATGGGTTTGATTTGATACCCTTCCTTCACAGCTGTAGGTTGGTTCCAAGCCTGTAGCTTTTAGGATCGTCTTCGTATAACCATAACGAATCTTCATTTGCGCCACATTAATGTCATATGCCAGATATACTCTGAACGCCAATATTCTGTTTTGGTAATAATGTGTTAGAGAAATATTTGGTCACGTTTCCTTTTCAACTGGAAACGCGTTGGGATGGGAGGAAGGGTGTCATCATGTGACCTATGGCAGATTGACGACACACTTCGTCCTTTTCACTATCGGAAAGATCAGGAATGAAAAGAGTCTGTCCTACAGCGCATTGCAAACAACATCGTATACAGCGACTCAAACCTTGAGTAACAAAATAACATTCGACTAACTTTTATCTAGTTTGATTACTCGATGAAACATTGTAGCCCACGGCGTTGTCGTCCGCATTCTTTAATAGTAACACTGTTTTGAAACTATTGTGTCCTTCTAAATTGAACGATATCGTCAGCAAGTAAACGGTTACTGTAACAATTTCTGGAATTCATGGAAACGTGAACTGATGCCATCGAGGTCACGGCAGCGGTACGAGGTGAATCTTCTAGCCGGCTGGTGAGAGGGTAAGGGCGGAGAGCTAGAATGGGAAATCCGGTGAATGTGTGCTGTCCGACTGAAATAATGGCATTAGGAAAAGTTATGCAAAGTTCAGCCTTTCATGTTGTGACGATTGTTATTGTTTTCAAGTATATTTAGGATAATAATTGATGTGATTTGATGATGATGTGCACTTCAAGACAAACGCGATCAGCACAAATATGCAGACGTTGGAGTCATGTTATGAATCACATTATGATCACACATACGATATGGGCTGTCAGCCAATCAGCATTCAGGGCTCGAACCACACAGTTTATAATAGAGATATACTGTAGATCATATATCCTGATCCCTAGTCACTTTACCCATATACATATATCTCGCTATGGATCCTCTGTAGCTCAACTGGTAGAGCATGGCGCTTGTAACGCCAGGGTAGTGGGTTCGATCCCCGGGACCACCCATACGTAAAAATGTATGGACACATGACTGTAAGTCGCTTTGGATAAAAGCGTCTGCTAAATGGCATATTATTATTATTTCTTAGTTTTATATCTGGTGTGTTTTTGTTCTACCTTGTTATTTTTTTTTAGAATTACATCGTTATTGATTACTGCATTGTTGGGGTTAGAGTTGCTAAGAAAGGCATTTCACTATACTTATGCATGAAACTTGAGATATACACTGAGCGTACAAAACATTAAAAAACACCTTCCTAATACTTTAGTCAAATATTATATCTGTTTGGGCTTCTTGTGGTCAATTTGCAGTCTACAAATTCTTTGTAATTAGGTTCTGGCCCCCCGACCATCCGCTCAAGAAAAAGAATCGGCCGGCTGAATCTAGTTGATGATCACCGCTTGGTATGGCAAAATAGCCATAAGACCTGCTAAATAGTTAATTCAATGGTTACACAAACTATCTGAATTGATCTTGCACTGACTATTCACACTCACACGACTATATACACACTACACCGACACTCTCACAAAACCCACACACATCCACATACACGCACACACACACACACACACACACACACACACACACTTTCACACTCATCATTTGCTGCTGCTACTCTGTTCTTTATTTTACCCTTATTATTATCTATCCTGATGCCTAGTCACTTTACCCTGCCTTCATGTACATATCTACCTCAACTACCTTATTATTATCTATCCTGATGCCTAGTCACTTTACCCTGCCTTCATGTACATATCTACCTCAAATACCTTATTATTATCTATCCTGATGCCTAGTCACTTTACCCTGCCTTCATGTACATATCTACCTCAAATACCTTATTATTATCTATCCTGATGCCTAGTCACTATACCCTGCCTTCAGTACATATCTACCTCAAATACCTTATTATTATCTATCCTGATGCCTAGTCACTTTACCCTGCCTTCATGTACATATCTACCTCAAATACCTTATTATTATCTATCCTGATGCCTAGTCACTTTACCCTGCCTTCATGTACATATCTACCTCAACTACCTTATTATTATCTATCCTGATGCCTAGTCACTTTACCCTGCCTTCATGTACATATCTACCTCAAATACCTTATTATTATCTATCCTGATGCCTAGTCACTTTACCCTGCCTTCATGTACATATCTACCTCAACTACCTTATTATTATCTATCCTGATGCCTAGTCACTTTACCCTGCCTTCATGTACATATCTACCTCAACTACCTTATTATTATCTATCCTGATGCCTAGTCACTTTACCCTGCCTTCATGTACATATCTACCTCAACTACCTTATTATTATCTATCCTGATGCCTAGTCACTTTACCCTGCCTTCATGTACATATCTACCTCAAATCCAGGGTAGGGGAGGGAATGGCCGGCAGGGATGTAGCTCAGTTGGTAGAGCATGGCGTTTGCAACGCCAGGGTTGTGGGTTCGATTCCCACGGGGGGCCAGTATGAAAAAATAATAAAAAATAAAATAAAATAATGTATGCACTCACTAACTGTAAGTCGCTCTGGATAAGAGTGTCTGCTAAATGACTAAAATGTAAAATGTAAATGTAGTCACTTTACCCTGCCTTCATGTACATATCTACAGTGCATTCGGAAAGCATTCAGACCCCTTGACTTTTTCCACGTTTTGTTACGTTACAGCCTTATTCTAATATTGATTAAATTGTTGTTTTTTTCTCATCAATCTACGCACAATAACCCATAATGACAAAGCAAAAACAGATTTGTATACATTTTTGCAAATGTATTATTATTTTTGTTGTTGAAATATCACATTTGCATAAGTATTCAGACCGTTTACTCAGTACTTTGTTGAAGCACCTTTGGCAGTGATTACAGCCTTGAGTCTTCTTGGGTATGACGCTACAAGCTTGGCACACCTGTATTTGGGGAGTTTCTCCCATTCTTCTCTGCAGATCCTCTCAAGCTCTGTCAGGTTGGATGGGGAGTGTCGCTGCACAGCTATTTTCAGGTCTCCAGAGATGTTTGATCGGGTTCAAGTCCGGGCTCTGGCTGGGCCACTCAAGGACATTCAGAGACTTGTCCCGAAGCCACTCCTGCGTTGTCTTGGCTGTGTGCTTAGGGTCGTTGTCCTGTTGGAAGGTGAACCTTCGCCCCAGTCTGAGGTCCTGAGCGCTCTGGAGCAGGTTTTCATCAAGGATCTCTCTATACATTGCTCCGTTCATCTTTCCCTCGATCCTGACTAGTCTCCCAGTCCCTGCCGCTGAAAAACATCGTAGGGATGGTGCAAGGTTTCCTCCAGACGTGACGCTTGGCATTCAGGCCAAAGAGTTCAATCTTGGTTTCATCAGACCAGAGAATCTTGTTTCTCATGGTCAGAGTACTTTAGGTGCCTTTTGGCAAACTCCAAGCAGGCTGTCATGTGCCTTTTACTGAGGAGTGGCTTCTGTCTGGCCACTCTACCATAAAGGCCTGATTGGTGGGGTGCTGCAGAGATGGTTGTCCTTCTGGAAGGTTCTCCCATATTCACAGAGGAACTCTGGAGCTCTGTTAGAGTGACCATCAGGTTCTTGGTCACCTCCCTGACCAAGGCCCTTCTCCCCCGATTGCTCAGTTTGGCCTGGAAGCCAGCTCTAGGAAGAGTCTTGATGGTTCCAAACTTCTTCCATTTAAGAATGATGGCGGCCACTGTGTTCTTGGGGACATTCAATGCTGCAGACATTTGTTGGTACCCTTCCCCAGATCTGTGCCTCAACACAATCTTGTCCCGGAGCTCTACGGACAATTCCTTCGACCTCATGGCTTGGTGTTTGCTCTGACGTGCACTGTCAACTGTGGGACCTTATATAGACAGGTGTGTGCCTTTCCAAATCATGTCCAATCAATTGGATTTACCACAGGTGGACTCCAATCAAGTTGTAGAAACATCTCAAAGATGATCAATGGAAACAGGAAGCACCTGAGCTCAATTTCGAGTCTCATAGCAAAGGGTCTGAATACTTATGTAAATAAGTATTCAAAAATTCTTTTTTAAAATGTCTAAAAACCTGTTTTCGCTTTGTCATTGTGGGGTATTGTGTGTAGATTGATGAGTTTGTTTATTTAATCAATTTTAGAATAAGGCTGTAACGTAAAAAATTTGGAAAAGGGAAGGGGTCTGAATACTTAACGAATGCACTGTATCTCAAATAACTCGTACCTCTGCACATTGATCTAGTACTGGTATATAAACTCAGCAAAAAAAGAAACGTCCCTTTTTCAAGACCCTGTCTTTCAAAGATAATTTGTAAAAATCCAAATAACTTCACAGATCTTCATTGTAAAGGGTTTAAAAACTGTTTCCCATGCTTGTTCGATGAACCATAAACAATTAATGAACATGCACCTGTGGAACGGTCGTTAAGACACTAACAGCTTACAGACGGTAGGCAGTTAAGGTCACAGTTATGAAAACTTAGGACACTAAAGAGGCCTTTCTACTGACTCTGAAAAACACAAAACGAAAGATGCCCAGGGTCCCTGCTCATCTGCGTGAACGTGCCTTAGGCATGCTGCAAGGAGGCATGAGGACTGCAGATGTGGCCAGGGCAATAAATTGCAATGTCCGTACTGTGAGACGCCTAAGACAGCGCTACAGGGAGACAGGACGGACAGCTGATCGTCCTCGCAGTGGCAGACCACGTGTAACAACACCTGCACAGGATCGGTACATCCGAACATCACACCTGCGGGACAGGTACAGGATGGCAACAACAACTGCCCGAGTTACACCAGGAACGCACAATCCCTCCATCAGTGCTCAGACTGTCCGCAATAGGCTGAGAGAGGCTGGACTGAGGGCTTGTAGGCCTGTTGTAAGGCAGGTCCTCACCTGACATCACCGGCAACAACGTCGCCTATGGGCACAAACCCACCGTCGCTGGACCAGACTAGACTGGCAAAAAGTGTTCTTCACTGACTAGTCGCGGTTTTGTCTCACCAGGGGTGATGGTCGGATTCGCGTTTATTGTCGAAGGAATGAGCGTTACACCGAGGCCTTTACTCTGGAGCGGGATCGATTTTGAGGTGGAGGGTCCGTCATGGTCTGGGGCGGTGTGTCACAGCATCATCGGACTGAGCTTGTTGTCATTGCAGGCAATCTCAACGCTGTGCGTTACAGGGAAGACATCCTCCTCCCTCATGTGGTACCCTTCCTGCAGGCTCATCCTGACATGACCCTCCAGCATGACAATACCACCAGCAATACTGCTCGTTCTGTGCGTGATTTCCTGCAAGACAGGAATGTCAGTGTTTTCCAATGGCCAGCGATGAGCACGGATCTCAATCCCATTGAGCACGTCTGGGACCTGTTGGATCGGAGGGTGAGGGCTAGAGCCATTCCCCCAGAAATGTCAGGGAACTTGCAGGTGCCTTGGTGGCCCCCCCCCCCCCCCCCCCCCCCCCCCCCCCCCCCCCCCCCCACGCCCTCACCCCGGCCAACAACTCGCCACCACAAACCCACCGCCCTCCAGAAAGACGGCAAAAATAAGTCCCTTTTCTCACCTAACAATTTATGCAAATCAACCGGACGGTGTTTAGGACCAAATTCCGTTTATTGTCACAGAAGAAACAGCACTAAAACGAGGCCCTTCCCTACTGACCCCTCGAAAACCAAAAAATCCCCCGTCTGCCATTTGCACCTCAACCAGGACATGATTTATGCATGCAGGCAATATTAAACCGCTGGACGTACAGGGAAGACCATCCCCCCAAAATGCAGACCTTCCCCAGGTCACTCGAACATACCCTCCACAGAAGAAATCAAACCAGCCCAGGAAGAACCCCTCATCGGAAGCGCAAACAGAGAAGCGGCTGGTTCCAACCCCAAAAACACACACCGCAAAAAAAAAAAAAAACAAAAACCCCACCCCAAAACAAACCCCCCCCCCCCCCCCTTTGTTCAGGGAAACAGTATTCCATTTCTGTTAGTCACATGTCTGTGGAACTTGTTCAGTTTATGTCTCAGTTGTTGAATCATGTTATGTTCATACAAATATTTACACATGTTAAGTTTGCTGAAAATAAACGCAGTTGACAGTGAGAGGATGTTTCTTTTTTTGCTGAGTTTAGCTCCATTCTGTATATAGCTCCATTCTTGTGTAGTTTATTCCTCTTGTGTTACTATTTGTATTATAATGTTTAACTCTGCATCGTTGGGAAAGGGCTCGTAAGCAAGCATTTCACGGTAAAGTCTACACCCGTTGTATTCTGCGCATGTGACAAATAAAATGTGATTTGACAACCAATTCCTTATATCCCTATTAACTCCCTAACTATCTCAGTAGCTCAAACAAGCAGCTGAAGAGGCAAGTTAGCTTACACGTTCATGTATCCATTGCACTTAACAGACACTGCAACTTTTTTAAATCTCGTCTTTTGATGTTTTCTAAAGGTTGGTAGACCTGGAGCCAGGTCCGAGCCCCAGGGTGGAGGGTGGAGGGCAGGGTGACCCCAGTCCCACCTGGCCCCAGGAGCAGTGTACCCAGGCCCGGAGCCAGACCAGGGGCAGAGAGGGCAGCAGGCTGGAGCGTGCTGCCCAGCTTGAGGGTGCCCGGGGCAGGGAGCATGAAGACAATGTGTCCCGCCTCCGGAGCTCTTCCCTGGAGATCAGAGAGAAGGGCACCGAGATACTCAGAGAGCAGCTGGACGCTGCACAGAAGGTGGGTGAGGCCGAACTTGTTATACACCTCTTCTATTCTGCTGTAGTTCTACCCTACACCTCTTCTATCCTGCTGTAGTTCTACCCTTCACCTCTTCTATTCTGCTGTAGTTCTACCCTTCACCTCTTCTATTCTGATGCAGTTCTACCCTTCACCTCTTCTATTCTGCTGTAGTTCTACCCTACACCTCTTCTATTCTGCTGTAGTTCTACCCTTCACCTCTTCTATTCTGCTGCATACTACTGACCCAGTTCTACCCTGCACCTCTTCTATTCTGCTGTAGTTCTACCCTTCACCTCTTCTATTCTGATGCAGTTCTACCCTTCACCTCTTCTATTCTGCTGTAGTTCTACCCCTTCTATCCCTTTCTACCCTTCCTCTCTATCCTGCTGTAGTTCTACCCTTCACCTCTTCTATCTGCTGTAGTTCTACCTCACCTCTCTATCTCTGTAGTTCTACCTTACACCCTCTTTTATTCTGCTGCAGTTCTACCCTTCACCTCTTCTATTCTGATGCAGTTCTACCCTTCACCTCTTCTATTCTGCTGTAGTTCTACCCTACACCTCTTCTATTCTGCTGTAGTTCTACCCTACACCTCTTCTATTCTGCTGTAGTTCTACCCTTCACCTCTTCTATTTTGCTGCATACTACTGACCCAGTTCTACCCTGCACCTCTTCTATTCTGCTGTAGTTCTACCCTTCACCTCTTCTATTCTGATGCAGTTCTACCCTTCACCTCTTCTATTCTGATGCAGTTACTACCCTTCACACTCTTCTATTCTGCTGTAGTTCTACCCTACACCTCTTCTATTCTGCTGTAGTTCTACCCTACACCTCTTCTATTCTGCTGTAGTTCTACCCTTCACCTCTTCTATCCTGCTGCATACTACCTTCACCTCTTCTATTCTGCTGCAGTTCTACCCTTCACCTCTTCTATTCTGCTGTAGTTCTACCCTTCACCTCTTCTATTCTGCTGTAGTTCTACCCTTCACCTCTTCTATTCTGCTGCAGTTCTACCCTTCACCTCTTCTATTCTGCTGCATACTACTGACCCAGTTCTACCCTTCACCCTCTTCTATTCTGCTGCAGTTCTACCCTTCACCTCTTATTCTGATCTGCTGCAGTTCTACCCTTCACCTCTTCTATTCTGATGCAGTTCTACCCTTCACCTCTTCTATTCTGCTGCAGTTCTACCCTTCACCTCTTCTATTCTGCTGTAGTTCTACCCTACACCTCTTCTATCCTGCTGCATACTATTGACCTAGTTCTACCCTGCTCCTCTTCTATTCTGCTGCAGTTCTACCCTTCACCTCTTCTATTCTGCTGCAGTTCTACCCTTCACCTCTTCTATCCTGCTGCATACTATTGACCCAGTTCTACCCTGCACCTCTTCTATTCTGCTGCAGTTCTAGCCTTCACCTCTTCTATTCTGCTGTAGTTCTACCCTTCACCTCTTCTATTCTGCTGCAGTTCTACCCTTCACCTCTTATATTCTGCTTGTAGTTCTACTAAACCCTTCACCTCTTCTATCTGCTGTAGTTCTAACACCTTCACCTCTTCTATTCTGCTGTAGTTCTACCATTGACCTCTTCTATTCTGCTGCAGTTCTACCCTTCACCTCTTCTATTCTGCTGTAGTTCTACCCTTCACCTCTTCTATTCTGCTGCATACTACTGACCCAGTTCTACCCTTCACCTCTTCTATTCTGATGCAGTTCCTACCCTTCACCTCTTCTATTCTGCTGCAGTTTCTACCCTTCACCTCTTCACTATTCTGCTGTAGTTCTACCCTACACCTCTTCTATCCTGCTGCATACTATTGACCTAGTTCTACCCTGCTCCTCTTCTATTCTGCTGCAGTTCTACCCTTCACCTCTTCTATTCTGCTGTAGTTCTACCCTTCACCTCTTCTATCCTGCTGCATACTATTGACCCAGTTCTACTAACCTGCACCTCTTCTATTCTGCTGCAGTTTCTAGCCTTCAAACCTCTTCTTTCGCTGTAGTTCAAACCCTTCATTTTCACCTCTTCTAATTCTGCTGGCAGTTCCTAACCTTCACCTCTATATTCTGCTGTAGTTCTACCCTTCAGCCTCTTCATATATTCTGCTGTAGTTCTACGAACCCTTCACCTCTTCTATTCGCTGTAGTTCTACATTGCCCTCTTCTATTCTGCCAGTTCTAACCCTTCACCTCTTCTATTCTGCTGTAGTTCTAACCCTTCCCCTCTTATATTCCTGCTGTAAGTCTAAAACCTTCACCTCTTCTGTTCTGCTGTAGTTCCTACCCTTCACCTCTTCTATTCTGCTGCAGGTCTAGTTTCTAACCCTTCACCTCTTCTATTCTGCTGTAGTTCTAACCCTTCACCTCTTCTATTCTGCTGTCGTTCACCCTACAACACACAACTCTTCTATTCTGCTGTAGTTCTACCCTTCACCTTTCCCCCCTTCTATTCTGCTGCAGTTCTACCCTTCAACCTCTTCTATTCTGCTGCATACTACTGACCCCAGTTCTACCCTACACCTCTTCTATTCTGCTGTAGTTCTACCCTTCACCTCTTCTATTCTGTTGCAGTTCTACCCTTCACCTCTTCTATTCTGATGCAGTTCTACCCTTCACCTCTTCTATTCTGCTGCAGTTCTACCCTTCACCTCTTCTATTCTGCTGCAGTTCTACCCTTCACCTCTTCTATTCTGCTGCATACTACTGACCCAGTTCTACCCTACACCTCTTCTATTCTGCTGTAGTTCTACCCTTCACCTCTTCTATTCTGCTGCAGTTCTACCCTTCACCTCTTCTATTCTGCTGTAGTTCTACCCTTTACCTTTTCTATTATGCTGTAGTTCTACCCTTCACCTCTTCTATTCTGCTGCATACTACTGACCCAGTTCTACCCTACACCTCTTCTATTCTGCTGTAGTTCTACCCTTCACCTCTTCTATTCTGCTGTAGTACTACCCTTCACCTCTTCTATTCTGCTGCAGTTCTACCCTTCACCTCTTCTATTCTGCTGCATACTACTGACCCAGTTCTACCCTACACCTCTTCTATTCTGCTGCAGTTCTACCCTTCACCTCTTCTATTCTGCTGCAGTTCTACCCTTCACCTCTTCTATTCTGCTGCAGTTCTACCCTTCACCTCTTCTATTCTGCTGCAGTTCTACCATTCACCTCTTCTATTCTGCTGTAGTTCTACCCTTCACCTCTTATATTCTGCTGCATACTATTGACCCAGTTCTACCCTACACCTCTTCTATTCTGCTGCAGTTCTACCCTTCACCTCTTCTATTCTGCTGCAATTCTACCCTTCACCTCTTCTATTCTGATGCAGTTCTACCCTTCACCTCTTCTATTCTGCTGCAGTTCTACCCTTCACCTCTTCTCTTCTGCTGCAGTTCTACCCTTCACCTCTTCTATTCTGCTGCATACTACTGACCCAGTTCTACCCTACACCTCTTCTATTCGCTGTAGTTCTACCCCTTCACCTCTCTATTCTGCTGCAGTTCTACCCTTCACCTCTTCTATTCTGATGCAGTTCTACCCTTCACCTCTTCTATTCTGCTGCATACTACTGACCCAGTTCTACCCTACACCTCTTCTATTCTGCTGTAGTTCTACCCTTCCTCTTCTATTCTGCTGCAGTTATACCCTTCACCTCTTCTATTCTGCTGTAGTTCTACCCTTCACCTCTTCTATTCTGCTGCAGTTCTACCCTTCACCTCTTCTATTCTGCTGCAGTTCTACCCTTCACCTCTTCTATTCTGCTGCAGTTCTACCCTTCACCTCTTCTATTCTGCTGCAGTTCTACCCTTCACCTCTTCTATTCTGCTGCAGTTCTACCCTTCACCTCTTCTATTCTGCTGCATACTACTGACCCAGTTCTACCCTTCACCTCTTCTATTCTGCTGCAGTTCTACCCTTCACCTCTTCTATTCTGCTGCAGTTCTACCCTTCACCTCTTCTATTCTGCTGCAGTTCTACCCTACACCTCTTCTATTCTGCTGCAGTTCTACCCTTCACCTCTTCTATTCTGCTGCATACTACTGACCCAGTTCTACCCTGCACCTCTTCTATCCCCTCCCAGGAGCTGAAGCTAAAGGATAAGGAGTGTGAGCGTCTGTCACAGGTCCGGGATAAACTAGAACAGGAGCTGGAGGAGCTCACTGCCAGTCTGTTTGAGGTAGGAAGGAATGACTACTCGGCCTACTACAGCCCACAGCTAGCTGAACTGGTGATGGTACAAATACAGTTGATGTCGGAAGTTTACATACACCTTAGCCAAATACATTTAAACTCAGTTTTTCACAATTCTTGACATTTAATCCTAGTAAGAATTCCCTGTTTTAGGTCAGTTAGGATCCCCACTTTATTTTAAGAATGTGAAATGTCAGAATAATAGCAGAGAGAATGATTTATTTAAGCTTTTATTTCTTTCATCACATTCCCAGTGGGTCAGAATTTTACATACACTCAATTAGTATTTGGTAGCATTGCCTTTAAATTGTTTAACTTGGGTCAAAAGCTTCCCACAATAAGTTGGGTGAATTTTGGCCCATTCCTCCTCACAGAGTTTCAGTTCTGTCAGGATTTTTCAATTCTCTATAGGATTGAGGTCAGGGCTTTGTGATGGCCACCCCAATACCTTGACTTTGTTGTCCTTAAGCCATTTTGCCACAACCTTGGAAGTATGCTTGGGGTTATTGTCCATTTGGAAGACCCATTTGCGACCAAGCTTTAACTTCCTGACTGATGTCTTGAAATGTTGCTTCAATATATCCACATAATTTTCCTTCCTCATGATGCCATCTATTTTGCAGCAAAGCACCCCCACAGCATGATGCTGCTACCCCCGTGCTTCACGGTTGGGATGGTGTTCTTCAGCTTGCAACGCCCCCTTTTTCCTCCAAACATAACGATGGTCATTATGGCCAAACAGTTCTATTTTTGTTTCATCAGACCAGAGGACATTTCTCCAAAAAGTACGATCTTTGTCCCCATGTGCAGTTGCAAACCGTAGTCTGGCTTTTTTATGGCGGTTTTGGAGCAGTGGCTTCTTCCTTGCTGAGCGGCCTTTCAGGTTATGTCGATATAGGACTTGTTTTACTGTGGATATAGATACTTTTGTACCTGTTTCCTCCAGCATCTTCACAAGGTCCTTTGCTGTTGTTCTGGGATTGATTTGCACTTTTTGCACCAAAGTACGTTCACCTCTAGGAGACAGAACGTGTCTCCTTTCTGAGCGGTATGATGGCTGCGTGGTCCCATGGTGTTTATACTTGCGTACTATTGTTTGTACAGATGAACGTGGTACCTTCAGGCATTTGGAAATTGCTCCCAAGGATGAACCAGACTTCTGGAGGTCTACTTTCTGAGGTCTTGGCTGATTTCTTTTGATTTCCCATGATGTCAAGCAAAGAGGCACTGAGTTTGAAGGCAGGCCTTGAAATACATCCACAGGTACACCTCCAATTGACTCAAATGATGTCAATTAGCCTATCCGAAGCTTCTAAAGCAATGAAATCATTTTCTGGAATTTTCCAAGCTGTTTAAAGGCATAGTCAACTTAGTGTATGTAAACTTTTGACCCACTGGAATTGTGATACAGTGAATTATAAGTGAAATAATCTGTCTGTAAACAATTGTTGGAAAAATTACTTGTGTCATGCACAAAGTAGATGTCCTAACCGACTTGCCAAAACTTTGTGGAGTGGTTGAAAAACGAGTTTTAATGACTCCAACCTAAGTGTATATAAACTTTCCGACTTCAACTGTACACCTGGACTTAGAAAGGTGTGGATCCTGCATGTTAACTTTGTCCTTTTGCTGTTCCCATAGGAAGCTCACAGGATGGTGCGTGAAGCCAACGTGAAACAAGCAGCAGCAGAGAAGCAGCTGAAAGAGGCTCAGGGCAAGGTCAGGTCAGGTCATGACCCCTATTTAATTAAAGACTGTAGCCTTTATGGTTAGAGAGGTGGGCCAGTGTGTGTGTCGGGTACAATTCATAACTACTGTCTATAACCACCACTCGTGTTCTTGTATCTCCCCAGATTGATGTCCTGCAGGCCGAGGTGTCAGCCCTGATGGTCCTGACCTCCACCCCCTCTTCCCCCAACCGTCAGGCCCACCCTCAGCTCCTCTCCCCGGGCACTAGGTCCAGGGGGGCCAGCCCCCACCATGGAGGGGGACACACACGCAACAAGAGCGCCAGCTGGGCCCTGCCATTGGCCACTGGTGGGCACGTAGACCCGCCCTCTGTCTCCCTGCAGCCAGTCACAGAGGACAAAGAGGTAGGGCCAGCTGCCTTCAGACTACACACCGGCCGTGTCTGAATACCCATACTTCCGTTCTAAATAGTAGGCTTTTTGGTTTTATTGTATGTGATTAAATTTTTTTGGACTGCTTTAAATGCCAGGATGTCATATTCATTTCGGCTTTTCACTATTGAGGAAGATAATTTTCTTCGGCACTAACTCTACTTCTGCTTCCTACTATAACTCTGCTTCCTACTAAACTTACTACTGTTCCTTTCTATAAAAATTACTTTCGGGTTCCTACTATAAAATCTACTTTCTGCTTTTACAAACCCCACTAATGCTTCCTACTTTTAACTCTACTTCTTTCCCCATATAAAATCTGCCCTACTATAACTCTAATCCCTTTCCCACTATAAACCCACTACTGCTTTTCCCCTATAAATCAAATTGGGTTCTACTATAACTCTACTACTGCTTCCTTTTTTATTTAAATCTATTTCTGCTTCCCACTAAACTTACTACTGCTTCCCACTATTTAAATCTTTTACCCGCTTCCTACTAAACTCTACACTGCCCTTTTACATAACCCCTTTTACTGCCCTACATAATCTTAAATTTCTGCTTCCAAATATAACTCTGCTTTTACTATAAAATCTACTACTGCTTCCTACATTTAAAACTTTCTACGCTTCCTACTATAAAATCTACTTTGGTTCCTACTATAAAATCACTACTGCCTTTTCCCACTAAAACTTTTACTCTGTTCCTACTATACCTCTGCTTTCCCACTATAACTCTACTACGTTTCCCACTATAACTCTACCTTTCTGCTTCTCTTTTAAAAAATTTCTACTGCTTCCCAGAAAACTTAAATACTGCTTTCCCAAAATAAATCTACTTCCGCTTTCCCCTTTTAAAATCTGCTTCATACTATAAATCTCTAAGTTCCTTTATAACTCTATACTTTCCTAACTTTTAAAAAATACTAATGGGTTCCTACTAAACTCTATATTTCTTCCTTTTAAAACTCTACATGCTTTTTAATAAAACTTATACTGCTTCCATAAACCTACTTTGCTTCCTATATAAAATTACTACTGTTTCCCACTTTTACTTACTTTGCCTTTTCCCAATAAAAACTTGCTTCCTTTTATAACTCTATACTGCTTCCTTTCTATAACTCTACACTGCTTCCTTTCTTTTAACTCTACTACTGCTTTCTACTAAACTTACAATTTCTTTCCCACTAAAATCTACTTTCTGCTTCCTACTATAAATCTAATATGTTCCTCCCATAAAAATCTTACTACTTTCCCCACTATAAAATTACTACGTTTTCCTTTCAAATCTACTGCTTTTCCCATTAAAATTACTACGGTTCCTATATAACTCTACCCCTTTTCTTCCCAAAACTCGTTCCTATATAAAATTTACTACGCTTCCACTTAAACTCTACTACTGCCTAATATAAAATCTGTTCCTACTAAAATCTAAATGGTTTTTTATATAAATTTTCCCACTGTTCCCATATAAACCCCTACTAATGCTTTTCCCACTTAAAATTCTAATGCTTCCTACTTTAAAATTACTCGCTTTCCTTTCTTAAACTTGTTCATACTTTTTAAAAAAATATACTGCTTCCACTATAAATTACTAAATGCTTCCCACATAAAATCTACTAAAGCTTTCCTTTCTATAACTCTACTTTGCTTTTTACTATAACTCTACTACGTTCCTACTATAAAATCTACTACTGCTTCCCTACATAACTCTACTACCCGCCTACTATAAAATTATACGGTTCCCACATAAATCTATAAATGCTTCCCAATTAAAATCACTTCTTTCTTCCTACTATAACTCTGCTTCCTATTAACCTATAATGCTTCCTACTAAACCCCTACACTTTCCCCCTAAACTCACTCCCGCTTTCCTTTCTAAAACACTATTTTCTTTCCAAATTTTAAAAATTTCTTAATTTCTTCCCACCAAAAAATTTTTACACGCTTCCTACTATAACTCTAAACGGGTTCCTAAAATAACTCTACTAAGCTTCCCACTATTAAATTACTATGCTTCCTACTAAACCTACTAAGTTCCCACTATAAATCTATTTCTGTTCCTACTATAAAATCTACTTCTGCTTCCTACTAAAATTTCTTCTACTTAACTCTTAAAACGCTTCCAAATAAACTCTACTACTTTCTTCCCACTATAACCTTTCTAATGGTTCCTAAAAACTCACTTTTATTCCTACTTAAAATCTACTACCGCTTCCCACTAAAATCTACTACGGGTTCCATAAACTCTTACTTTCTTTCCCCACCCATAAAATTTCACTGCTTTTCCCCCTATAATCTACTACTGCTTTTTACTATAAAATTGCTTCCACTAATCTACTACTGCTTCCTACTAAAACTCTGGTTTCCTTTCATAACTTTACTATGCTTTTTTATCAAATCTACTTTCTGCTTCCCCACATAACTCTACACGCTTATACATAACCCCTACTATGCTTCCCACTATAACTTACTACTGCTTCCCCACTATAAAATCTTCTTTCCTTTCCCACTATAAATCTGCTTCATACATAACTTTTACTACGCTTTTACAAACTCGGGTCCTAATATAACTCTACTACTGTTTCCACTAGAACTCTACTTTCCTTTCCCACTAAACTTACTACTGCTTTCCACTATAAAAATACTATGCTTTACTAAATTTTACTTTGTTCCCACTAAAAAATCTGCTCATACTATAACTCTACACTGCTTCCTTTCTATAATCCCACTACTGCTCCTACTTTTTAAAAACTACAGCCCTTTTACCCAACTTTATATTGTTCCCACTATAATCTACTACTGTTTCCTACTATAACTCTACTACTGCTTCCTACTATAATCTACAAGGCCCTTTCCCAAATAACTCTACATGCTTCCCCATAAATCTACTTTCTGCTTCCTACATAACTTAATTCTGCTTCCTTTCTATAAAATCGGGGTTCACTAGAACTCTACTACTGCTTCCCTTTAAAATCTAAATACTGGGCCCCACATAAAATTTTAATACGCTTTACTATAAAAAATTTTTTGCTTCCCACTTTTAATCTACTACTGCTTCCTACTATTAAAATCTCAATTTCTTCCCACTATAATCTAATACTGCTTCCTACTATTAAAAATCTACTACTGTCCTACTATAAAATTACTACTGCTTCCCACTAAACTCAATAAAAGCTTCCACTATAACTCACTACTGTTCCTACTAAATCTACTTCGGGTTCCACTATAACTCTGCTTCCCCATATAACCCCTTTTCTACTGCTTTTCCCACCTTTAAATCTACTTTTGCTTTACTATAACTCTAATACTGGGTTCCTACTTAACCCCTAATATTGTTCCTACTATAACTCTACTACTGCTTTTCCCACCCAAAACTTACTACTGCCCCTCTATAACTCTACTACTTCCTTTCCCAATAATATTAATGCTTCCTACTAAAACTCTATACTGCCCCTATATAACTCTGCTTCCACTATAAAATCACTACTGCTTCCTACTATAACTTGCTTCCTAATATAATCACTTCTGCTTCCTTTCTACAAATCATACGCTCCTCCCATAAATCTACAAATGCCCCCTACATAAATCTAAAAACCTTTCCCACTACAAATTTTACTACTGCTCCCAAAAACCCCTACTATGCTTTCCTAATATAAACCCACTATTGTTCCTACTATAAACCCACTAATGTTCCTACTATAAAATCTAAATACTGTTCCTCCCACAACCTACTTTTTTCCCAGTAAAATCACTACTGCTTCCCTATTTAACCTTTCTTCCACAAACTCTACTACTTTCTTCCTACTATAACTATGCTTCCTTTCGATAAAATCTACTACTTTTTTCCTTTCTATAAATCTACTATGCTTCCCACATAACTCTAATACTGCTCCACTATAAAACCCACTACCTGCCCTTTAAAATAAAATCGCCCCTTTCTATAACTTCCTAATGCTTCCCACAAAACTCACTACTTTTTCCCAATAACTTTACTATTGCTTCCTATAAACTCTATCGTTCCTACATAACTCTTTTACTGCTTCCTCCATAACTCTAATTTCTGCCTTTTTTTTTTTTTAAAACTCTAACGCTTCCTACTATAACTTACTACTGCCCTTTTACTATAACCCATACCCTTTCTTTTCCCTTTAAATTACATTGCTTCCCATAAAAATCTCTACTGCTTCCTTTCTATTAAAATCTATAGGTTTTCCCCTAAAATCGCTTCCTAATAAATCTACTATGTTTTCCACTATAACTTACTACTGCTTCCCACTAAAACTTACACTGTTCCTACTATAAAATCTACACTGCTTCCTACTATAACTCTAAATTCTGGTTTCCCACTAAAACTCTGCTTCATACTATAATCTACTAATGTTCCCACTAAACTCTACTACTTCCTACTAAAACCCCTTTCTAATGTTCCTACTATAAACTCCCAATCCCGCCTTTCCCACTATAAAATTTACTGCCCCTACTTTAACTCTACTTTTGCTTCCACTATAAATCTGTTCCTTTCTTTTAACTTTCTACTGCTTCCCAATATAAACCCCTACTACTGCTTTTCCCAAATAACTCTGCTTCCTTTCTATAACTCTACTTTTGTTTCCTACTATAACCCACTATGCTTCCACATAACTCTACTATTTCTTTCCCACATAACTCTACTATGGCCCTTTCCAATATAACTCACTTTGCTTCCTTTTAAAAACCGGAAAAATTAAAACCCGTTTTACATAACTTACTACTGGGTTTCCCACTAAACTCTACTTGCTTTTACTATAACTTACCAATTTCTTCCACTAAAAAATTTTAATTTTTGCTTTTTCCTTCCTGTTCCATTTAAATTAAGTTTTTTCCGGGGCCTTAATTTTAACTTACTTTCGTTCCTAAATAAAATCTACCCGCTTCCCCACTATAAAAA